AGATAAAGGGTCTCTCCTAACAGTTGTCCTTGTTTATTGATGATTATAAATTCTTTGACATACCTGCTAATGTAAAGTTGAAACTGTTGCTATATTTTGTGTTATTGGGAAAGCTGTTTCCAGCTTTGCATTTATATGTTCCAAAGTCACTAGATGAATTGATAAACAGAAAAAGCATAGCTGCTTCCTTCTTCTGCATCCTTATGGGGCGAGAGATGTTCTTTCTTCCTCTGAAGAATACGTAAGTGATAGGAAGAGAACCATTTTCCGAGAGACAAGATAGTGTCACATTCTGTCCTTTGTTTGCTCGAGAAGTGAGTGAGCTTAACACTGGCTTAGAAACTGGCTCTGTAAAAAGAAACCGAAAATACTGTATCTCTGAGTACAGAATAAACGGCAAAGAAAGACATTGACATAAGCAAATGAGATGGGCCTAGGGGATGGATGGCTCACCGAGCCAGATCAGGGTAACACTGCTGACCCCTGAGGAAATAATACCAAGGGTAGTCATGAAATTTAGCTCTGTAATCAAGGCAGGCACTCAGTGCAGTGCAAAAGAGCACCTGGAGCAAACAAAACTCTAGTGGGATGTATCAGAGCGGGTGGTTCTGTGCTCCTGAAATGAAATGTGTGGTGAAGATATAAATCAAGACCTACCTATAAGGGTTAAATTGACAGGTTTGCTGTATTTTCCATTATTGGAGATTCTGTTCTCAGCTTTGCATTTGTATTCACCCACGTCACTGGCAGAGTTGATGGTCAGGTTAAACACAGCTGGGGTTGAATCTGTCCTATTTAGTGTGGCAACCTGCTGTTTTCCTTTGAAGAGAGTGTATCTGACAGGTGGAGATCCAGAGTCTGAGTGACAGGAGAGGCTCACATTCTGGTTCATTATTACTTCCAAAGTGCCCTGAGCATGGCTGAGCTTGGGATTGGACATCTCTAGAAAGAAGAAACTTCTGAGTGAGTTCATGGCATCTATCATTCAAATATCTTCTAGGTTATTCACAAAGTGTTGAAGACCCTGGTGTGCCTTTCTGTTGAAAACTGTCCTGATATTTCTTCACCTCCAGTAGCAGGCAGCACAGCTTTGTATTTTTCAATGTCAATATGTAGCATCAAACATTCAATGAAAAATGCATATCTCCATACAAATGAGAGCATATCCACACAAAGTCAACAGATATTTC